CTCATAGAGCTTGGAGAATTTTTTCAGAATTTTATATTAACTTTTTAGTACTGAATTTTTTTGCGTTTTCTTGCATTTTCTTGAAGTACTAGAAAGTTAATACAAATTTTGAAAAAATAGAGCTCTATGAGAAGAAAATAAATAACATCTGTCAACTCTATAACCTAACCTAACCTGTCAACTTCAACGCATACGCACAGAGGACGAATAGGAACGTATAGCTTTCTTTCTCGCTCACACTTGGATACACTTTCGTGCCAGCATTTCCCCTCCATATATATATATGTTCTAAAGGCCTTTGCAAGGAGAAAAATTTTAACCGTAATCGTAAGGTTGTAAGAAAACTGACCAATCACAGTCGATTATTCTTCGAACGCAAGGAGAATAATCAACTTTGATTGTTCAGTTGTTCAGTTGACTTGGTCAGTTTTCTTACGACCTTACGATTACGGTTAAAATTTTTCTACATGCAAAGGCCTTAAGGAACCTAGAAATACTTTATTCGTCAACCAATGAACGTATCCAAAAAGCTTGTTGTACAACACATGTAATATCAGCTTTGAAATGAAAGAGATACAAGAGTAAAGGCTTATATATATATTATACGATACTAGAAATCGGCCCGAGATCTAGATCCGAGAAAAAAGCAACCAATCCATTTACAGCTTTTACGGAAAGGCGACAATTTTATTGGTTACACGTTTCTCGGATCGAGATCTCGGACCATTTTTAACATTATGAATACAAGCCTTAATAGCATGTTTGACTGATACTGGGTGGGTAGACCCGATTGACCACGATTGGACATAAATTAAATAATTTTTGGCGATCGTTTGATACATGTACCTGATTGTCATTAGCCTAATTTACATCAAACATTTAATATATGTACTAAATATCTATACAGTATAAATGTCAAAAATACAATTCTAGAGATGTCGCAGAGATATCTGGATATCTCTGAAAGATATTTTGGATATTTATGTTGTACGAATATTTAATACATATAAAAAATGTTTGATGTAAACTTGCCCAATAACAACTTGGTACATGTACCAAACGATCGCCAAAAATCGCCTATTATAATGATTGGTTCGACTTGGTAATTCACTAGATAATTCTTTGCATCAGTTGGTTGTGTCCAATCGTACCGTGGTCAATTGGGACGCTCCCGCTCTGGATTAACCGATTAAGCCTACGTTTATTGATCGAACAAATACTTATAAGCTTTATGATTGGCTAGTAGAAACTTATGACATCATCGCTCTCGGAGCGATTAACCCAGGGCCAGTCGAACACACTATAAGATAAAGAAAGAAAGAGAGTATCCGAGTGGCTGCGTTCCAAAATTCTTCTCGGTGAGTAAAGTATATT